ACGCCCCCCCCCCACCCACCCACCCACCCACACCACACACACACACACACACACACACACACACACACACACACACACACACACACACACACACACACACACACACACACACACCTTCCGCACTCCCAGGCAAGGCGGCCCCTAGCCGCGAGGAGAAGGAGGCGGAGCGGGCGAGGCGGAAGGAGGAGAAGGTGGAGAGCAAGGCGAGGGCGGAGGAGGCGCGCAGGGCGGAGGAGCAAGCGAGGGCGGAGAAGCAAGCGAGGGCGGCGGCGGATTTCCTCGCAGCGCGGCGGCGTCAGCGGCAGCTGGACGAGGAGCGAGCCGAGGAGGAGGCGCGCAGGGCGGCGGCGCGCACAGCAGCTCTTCGCGTGGCCGAGGCGAGGCGGCGGAAACTCGATGCCGTCACTGCCGACGGCGCCGGTCGCTTGCGACTGCTCCGCCTCAAGCTGCGCGACGCGGGCGCAGAAGCAAGCTTGCAGGCGGACGAGGTGGAGGCCGCTTCCGAGGCACTTCCGAGAGGTTGGTCTCCGCCCGCCAGGCCGACGTCGCCACCGCCGCTGGACGCTGAGGCGGTTGCGGCGCAGAGCGAGGCGGAGGAGCAGAAGCAGGTTGCAGCGTTCCAGGCCAGATGTGGCCTGTCGGAGGGAGACAATGGCAACGATGTTGTCGCGGCGGCGCGCACGTGGTATGACGAGGAGGAGGCGCGGCTGGCGCAGGCTTGCGAGGCCATGGTTGACTACGCCGAGAAGCTCGCCAGCATCGCGCGAGGTTCGGCAGACGCTCTGAGCCTCAGAGTGAGTGCGTTCGACGACGAGGATGCAGCTGCCGCCGAGGCGAGGCGTCGCGCGGCGGCAGGCGAGAGGCGCCGCGCCGCCGACGCAGCGCGGCGTGATCGGGAGAGGGAGGAGGAGGCGGCAGCCACGCGCGGCGGTGACGGCGGCGCGGACCCGATGGAGAGTCTGGTCAAGCCGATCCTCGCGCGGCACGGCGCCGGCTGCGAGTGGGAAGACGTCGCCTTCCCCGCCGCCGACGCCTCGCTCCCCGCCTCGGCCCACGGTGCGAAGTGGCAGCGCGCCCGCCAGTTGTGCCTCGCGCCTGTCGTGTTTGGCCGCTCGAGCAAGGCTGCCGACGCGGACGCCATCGATCCGTCTGATATCTCGCAGGGCGCGCTCGGCACGTGCTATTTCCTGTCCGCCCTCTCGGTCGCTGCGACGAGGCCGCAGCTGATTCGCTCCTGCTTCGTGACGACGGAGCCCAACGAGGCGGGCTGCTACTGCGTGCGCCTCTTCCGCGACGGTCGGCCGCGCCACATCCTGGTGGACGACCAGCTCCCCGCGCACGGCCACGGGCGGCCGCTCTTCGCCGCCTCCAAGCAGCGCGACGAGCTGTGGGTCTCGCTCCTCGAGAAGGCCTATGCCAAGCTCTTCTCCTCGTACGCGGCCATCGAAGGGGGGCACGTCGACGAGGCGCTCGTCGACCTCACCGGCGGCGTGGGTGGCGAGAACTTGTCCCTCGCCGAGGAAGGCCGCGACCCGGACAGGCTGTGGTCTCGCCTGACCGGGTTTGTGCACGCGGGCTACCTGCTCGGGGCGGGCTCCCCCGCAGGCACCGACACGGACGTGTCTGCGGAAGGAATCGTGCAGGGCCACGCGTACTCGTGCCTGAGGGTGGCCGAGGAGGAGGGGCACCGGCTGCTGCAGCTGCGCAACCCGTGGGGGAGGACCGAGTGGCGCGGGGACTGGTCCGACGCGTCGCACCTCTGGACGCCTCGGCTCAAGGCGAGGCTCGGCTGGAGCGACGCGGACGACGGCACCTTCTGGATCGGCCTCAAGGACTTTTGCGCGTCGTTCGCCCAGCTGTACGTGTGCAAGATCCCAAACCCGTCCTGGGCACACGCCGAGATGCAGGGGGAGTGGCGCGGCGAGAGCGCGGGCGGCTGCTCCAACTACGACACGGTCGGCGCCAACCCGCAGTGGTCCATCACCATCGGCGAGCGGCCCGTGGCGTGCCTCGTCTGCCTGGCGCAGGCCGATGCGCGCGGCACCGACCTCGACGGCGACGGCGTCGAGGACGAGCCCTTCCCCATCGGCCTCTCGGTCGTGTACAAGCGCGGCGAGCGCGTGCGCAAGCTGTACGCGTCGGACTGGTGCGCGCGGACGGCGCCCTTCCGCAACACGCGGGAGGTCTCCCTCGACGTGACGCTCGAGCCGCGCTCCGGCGGCGCAACCACGACTTACACGCTGCTGCCCTCCACCTTTGAGCCCGGACAGGAGCGCAACTTCCGCATCCGCGTCTTCTCGGACAGGCCCGTCGAGGTGGCGCCGCTCAGGTGACCGCCCGGCTTGTCACTCGCCACACTCGGACCAACCATACCTTATACACCTGTACGTGTGTTGCTACCGCCCGCGTCTCACCGCGTGGGCTATGTAATGACTCACCCTCTCGTCTGTGGTTCTTGTTCTCTCGCGCGAGTGACAGTGTCTCTCTCCTCTCTCCTCTGCGGGTACCGAAAGAAGAGCCGATTTTGTGATATCTCCGGGTTGTCGGTTTTAGAGAGAGGACCATACACTGATGTATTCACACAGGTAAGCACAATTCAGTCATCCCCGTCGTCTCTCTCCATGTACCATATAGTGGTCGCGTACCGGGGCTTTGCGGCGGGCAGCACCTCGTGCGGCGACCGAAAGTCCGAAAAGAAGAGAAGCAGGCGGTCGCCCAAAGGTGCGACGTCGAGCAGTGCATCACCTGCCGCTGCCGCTGCCGCCCCTCCCGCCTGCTCGTCCTCGTCGCCCTCGTCGCCCTCGTCGCCCTGAGGCCTGAAGAGGCGCAGGCAGCCGCCGTCGGCCTCGCTCCACGAATCGTTGGCGTAATAGACGGCCGTGAGCCAGCGACCGTTGCAGTGCGGTCCGTGCCCGTTCGAGCAGTGGTTGTCGGTGTGCCGCGCGAAGGCTGCGCCGACGCCGTACCGCGACGCCATCGGCCGCATTCGCGACATGGCCGACCCCTTTCTGGCCAGGCCTGGCGCCGCGGCCCGCAGCGCCCGAACGAGCGCGTCAGCCGCGTCGACCAGCGTGGCCAGCGGCGCCCACCGCGCAGCGTCCTCGGCGGCGTCGATCCACGCGATGTGGTCGGAGCGGGTGCGGTCGGACCTCTGTCCGTTGAGCCCGTCGCCCGGCAGCGCCACCTTTGCGGGCTCCAGCACGCCGCCGCCCCAGGCGCGCTCGAGCGCGACTCGCAGCGCCACGCCGCCAGCCCGCCCGAGGAAGCCGTCGACCACTACGTGGTTGCGACAGCGGAGCGTCTCCGCGATGGCCGCGAGCGCGCCGTCGCTCGACCACCAGGCCCGCCCATCCCGAGCGTGCGACGCAACCTCGGGCTGGACGCTCGAGGTGTCGGCCGACAGCAGCGGCGGCGGCGGAGCGCCCGCAGGCACGAGCCCGTTGGAGAGCTGGTGGTACAACACCTCAGCCCACCCAGGCCACTCGGGCAGGTCGAGCTCCCAGGCGAGCGCGAACGCCTCGCGCATCTTGGTCACGCCCTCGGCCACAGCGTTCGCGTCGCACAGAGCTTCGCCCTCGATGTAGAGGAGGACAGCGGGAAGCCGGTTAGACTTGGCGGTCGGAGCCCACGGAGTGGTGAACTCGGCCATGGTTGTGGGCGAGGTGCGCACTGCCTTCGTGTACGGCAAGCGAAGAGGACGCGCCTCCGCCCTTCGCACGTGTATTCTTTTTTTTGGGCAAGGCGTCTATTCGGTGCTCTGCACGTTAGAGCGTCCGGCAGGTCCGGCAGGCACCCTGCCGGACGCAAATGGGGCCGCCTGGTGGCCTCCGAGCGCCAGCCGAAGCAACCCTCGGCGTGCCCCGACACCCCCCCGACTCATGATGTGCCGCTCTTGCCTGTGTGGCCGACGGCGGGACTCCGTGCGCGGCTGCGCCGCAAACTCGTCACTGCCGTCGTCACACCTGTCCACAGATGCGACGGGTGCCTGTCCGACCGCGACAAACAGGCCTCGTTGCGGATCGCCAGCCCGCCCTTTGCCTCCGCAGACGCCCAGCTAGCCGAATCGTCGTTACCTTCCGCAGACCGACTTCGCGAGCGAGCGGGCGCGTTCTAGATGACGGTCTAGCCCAACTCACCGGCCTTGTGGCCTGAAACCGATTCTGAGCCCTGCCTCCCCCGAGCGGGTATGGCCGCTGCCCGGCGGCCCGCGGTACGATTCGGTCCCGCCACCTCCCCGCCGTCCCGGTTCCCGCAGGTGAATTATTGCGATTTCGCCACCCTCCTCGCCGCCCTCTCCGCCACTGTCGCCTCCGCGCTCTCCTCCGCTGTCGCCGCCGCCCTCGCCTCCACCGCCCTCTCCGCCACCCTCCCCGCGGCCTTCTCCACCGCCCTCTCCGCCGCTCTCTCCTCCGCCGTCGCCGCCGCCCTCGCCGCTGCCGTTGCCGCCGCACTCCTCCCCGCTGCCGCCCTCACCCTCCCCGCCGTGCCGTCGGTCTCGCCGTCGCCTTCTTCCGTGTCGCTGTCGCCGCTCCGCCGTCCGTGTCGCCGTCGCCGCCTCGGATCTGTCCGTGTCGCCTTCGCCGCCTCCGTCCGTGTCGCCGTCGCCGCTGCCTTCCTCCGTTTCGCCATCCCCGCCGCCGATCTCACCTTTGCCGCCTCTCCATGTCGCCGTCGCCGTGGCCGCCGTCGGTCTCGCTTTCGCCGCCTCTGTCCTTGTCGCCGTCGCCGCCGCCGCCGTTGGAATCGCTCTCCCCGCCGCCGTCGGTCGTGTCGCCTTCGCCGCCTCCGTCCGTGTCGCCGTCGCCGCTGCCTTCCTCCGTCTCGCCCTCCCCGCAGCAAGCTCGCTTGCCGTCGCCGTCGCCGCCATCGGTCTCGCTTTCGCCGCCTCCGTCCGTGTCGCCGTCGCCGCCTCCGTCCGTGTCGCCGTCGCCGCCTCCGTCCGTGTCGCCGTCGCCGCTGCCTTCCTCCGTCTCGCCCTCCCCGCAGCAAGCTCGCTTGCCGTCGCCGTCGCCGCCATCGGTCTCGCTTTCGCCGCCTCCGTCCGTGTCGCCGTCGCCGCCTCCGCCGTCGGATTCGCCTTTGTCGCCTGCTCCGTCCGTGTCGCCCTCGCCGCCGTCACAATTCGGCATACACACAGTTTGCACATCTGCAAGTTCTTCTTGATGCACACGGCGGTGCAGCCCCCGGCCATAGCGGGCAACTCAAGGCATCGACGCTCTCGCCGAAGCCCCTGTGCACCTCCCGGCACTTGCCGCCGTTTTATTCGGCGCAATGGCCGGCGTTGAAGCTCCGAACCCAGGCGCAGCCGAGCCCGTTTCTTTCAGAGACAATACCAACAACCTCTTTCACTCATTCTTAAAACAGTACCGGCCGGGATTTCGAAGATAGTGCTAAAATGGATACCTGGAGAATGGCATTTAATTTCGCGGACCGGCTCTTAACAATCAGGTCATGTCACCGCTTAATGTGCATGTGCGTGGCCTACGTCAGAGACCAAGTGACCAGCCGTCCCGGGCAATTTGTGACCCGTCTACGCCCTCGCGCCTCGGGCGCGGCCGGCCGCCGCCGGCTGCCCCGTTGACTTCTCCGCCGCGCGCTACGCGTTCGTTCGCAGTAATCTGGCTTAGTTCAGAGAGGTCGGGTCCAGTCTCTATGCGTATCACAGCGCGGCGCTGGCCTGCGCATGTCGGGCATGTAGTCGAATCAATCAATCATCCCGCCCGACATTTGATGTTAGTGGCAAAACCGCGGAACCGAAAATGGCGTTTAATTTTGCGCACCTGCTGTCCGCCGCCTGCGGCGGCGCTGCGCGCCGCCTACGCGCGCTGCGCGCGCGTTTTTTCTCTCTTTTTCTCTCTTTTTCACAGTGTAATTTTACCGAAAAAATGCCTTTTTCGGCGCCCTTTTCCCTTAAACCGGACCCTTTCTCTTTTCCCCCATTCCTCTTCTCCCTTTTTTTTGCTTGGGCGGGCCTTTTGCTGAAATTCTGCAAAAACCTCGGCCCCTGCGGTGCCCCCACCTACCTACCTACCTACCTACCTTACTTATGGGAAGCTAAAAAAGAAATCATTCGATCGGTGAAGGTAGTAAAAAAAAACTAATGTGGTCCTTGCGCGAGGGGAGCTCGATAGACTCGAGGGGCCAGGATACGCCGCGAGGAGGACGGAGTTGCGCCGAAAGGCAAAAGAAACCGCGAGAACAAGGGACCGGCAGGCGGCGGCGTCACAGGACGAGGCAGAAGAGAACGACGCGACAGAGGAGGAAATGACAAGGGAGAGAACGACGAGAGTGGGACGACCGCGAGGTGGCATGAAGGTTGCAGCGAGAAGCGGCGAGAGTGGAGAGACTGCGAAGAGAGATAGGAAGAGGCAGACTCCCTAGGGTGGGCGACGGCTAGCGCACCACACACCTCTCCTTAAAATCCCTGTGTGGTGGCGGCGTGCCGTCCTCCCATCCCTCCCTTGGGTTGTCTGTTTTCTTTCTTTCTTTCTACTATACCAACTAGAGTGATGGTTGGTTGTACTCTCCTGCAACCACAATCCTTCTTGTGACATGGCAGGCCACTCTCAAGCCCTACAAGCATCAGATCACCCATTTGGGGAGGGTTGACATCGTGATTTCCGCGGAAAATTTCTTTTTCTGCTGTGAAAATTCCAGCTTGAAGAGAGGGAAAAACCCGACGGGAGGGCCCAGACCTACCCTACCTACCCCGGCATGAGGCCCGCCCAAGCAAGAATAACACACACCTGAAAGATGAAGAAAAAGCGCTTCTCCTACAACTGTATTGCCCTAGTCATGGCGCAGGAGGGGATAGTTGTATAGTTCGTGTGAATTGTGAATGAACTGTGGGGGCCCGTGTTGCATGTCTGACTGTCACTGTGCGATTTCGGGGCCCGGGGTTGTGCGTTTAGTGAATTCACTTACCTACCGCCGAAGCAAAAAAGAATACACCCGGCTGTACCGAGGCAGGCATTCTGGCCGCGCCAGAGAGAGCACGACCCGATGGGAGGAGGACACTCGTCCACCTCTCAAGCCACCCGTGCTGCGGCTACTCTTCTCGCCGAACACACCATGCCCGCCCGAGGTGAGGCCGTCGAGGCGTGGGTGCGCGACGAGATGGACAAGCTCGAGTCTCGTCGCGAGCGCCCAGACGAGACGGCCTGGGAAGTGGAGACGCGGAGCAGCAAGGCTCGGCGCGAAGCGGACGCCGCAGGCCTCGCGTCGCTGCCGCCCGAGCTGCTGCAGTTCGTGTGGGAGCACTCCACCGCCCGCGACCTCGCCAACCTGGCACTCACGAATGCTCACTGGGCACTCGCCGTTGCGCCCGCACGCCGCGACTTCTGGCAGAAGCACGATGAGATGTGCGTTGCGCTGAAGAGCGCCCGCAGCTTCGAAGACATGGAGGCTGCGTCCAGCACGCTGGGCCTCCGGGTCAATCGCAGCCACGACCTCATGCACATCGGCCTGCGCCACTTTCGAGACGAGGAGCGCTTCGCTGAGCTGCAGCAGCAAGAGGCGGCTTCACCTCCGTACTCAGCATTGCGCGCACTCAGATTCGATGGCATCAACGCGTCGGATGCCATCGCGCGGCTGGAGTGCGCGAAACAGCATTTGGTGGTCCGCGAGCGTTGGCTGATCGATGGTGGTCCGACCTCTTCCCGCTCCATCGGCAATGAGAGTGCTCTCGTCGTCGCGACGACCATGCGGCTGCTGCCCTCCGCGCTGATGGGCGTGTGCATGGACATCCTGCAAGGCTGGGAAGAGCGGGTCCTCAATCAGGACGGATCGTACTACATGTGTGAGGAGCCGGCTGCACTCGTTGGCTTCGCTCTCGGCCACAACCTGCACCGCACCAAGTGGGATGGCCCGATGCTCACGCAGCTGCTCGAGAAGGCGGTCGAGGTGACGTGTACAGGTGAGGACGTCTCCGAGGCGATGGTCGTGTTCAGCCTTCTCCAGCAGCTGCCGTTTGAGCAGATCATGTGCGCGGCCAGCTCCTTCAAGCCGCTGAGCGAGCCTGGCAACATGCGCTTCTTCTTCGAGCTCTTCTTTTGCGAGATGGATGACGAGCACCCCTACTTTTGCCTCGGGCACTGCAACTTTGGCTACAACACCCCTGCTGCGACGCTCTGCGAGGTTGTCAACGCTCGTGCGCTAGCCGAGCTCATTGCCATCACGGTTGAAGAGGAGCAGCAGTACGCGCAGAACGACGACCAGTACCACCACAACGAGGCGCCCGACTACCACGAGCTGACGGTCGACCTACTGCGCCGCTGGGTGGAGGCCAACAATTTCCCCGAGTCGCAGCTGCCGCGCGAGGAGGAAGACACCTTCTCTGGCATTCTGGCCTCGCTCCCGGACGAGGTCAAGGACTCGATCGCTCGCGACGCTCTCTCGTGGGTGCTCGGATGCAGCCGGCTGCCCGCGGCGGCGAAGCGGATCTGCAACATGCTTGCATGAGACCATGGCATGAACTTTTCATTGACGCACATACACGCGAGTCGCGAGAGAGCCGTGGCGGCAAATGCGCGAGACATGGCGCGCATGGGCGATGGAGCGAGAGACAGGGTCGAGGGAGGGAGCCGAGCACGCACGCAGTGGGAGTCTATGCGCGCTGGGACTGCGCCCGCTGGGACCCACAAACTGATCTGAAACGAATATCGCGTACCTAGGTACGGTGAAGATAAAATACAGAGACCCACATGAATCAAAACCGTAGTTGGCACGTCGCGCCCCATGACGACATGTGCATGTGACGCCCCGCTTGCCCCGTGGTGTTACCCCCTTACTCGTACCCCCCTCTCAGCTCTCTCTCCACACACAATACTCACACGACGCGCCTACTCTTACTCGACCACACTCATCAGCAATGAGACACCCGCCATGACCCACTTTGATGGCGGCTTTTTGGTCTTCAGCCCGGCCGTAAAGACGTAGGTGGGGCCGCGGAACTGCGTCTTGTAGACGGGGCACGCGTACTGATCTCGGCTGTCAGCCTTCTCCACCGGCACAGCCTTGACGAGCATAACTGGGAGCTTCGGGTACAGCTCCTTCATGTTTGCGTCCTCAATCACCCCGCTGTTGACGTCCCAGCGCGCGCCGTCCATGTACATCCCGTAGATGTACGCCCCCTCGCGGACCGCGCCCTCAATCTCCTCCGGCCCCCTCTTGGTCACGTCGACCGTCGTGACCACCCGGTCGAGCGGCCACTCGTTCTTCCGCGCGGTCACCTGCATGACCGCGGTGAGGAAGGCCTGCGGGTTGAAGAGGCCCGAAATCCAGGTCACCTTGGGCGTGTTGAGGTCCGCCGTCCACTCCACCAGCTGCCTCTGCCGATCGAGGAAGTCGGCGAGCCAGGGCGAGAGCGGCGCCAGGGACGGCCACGCGAGCGCCTCCCACGTGCTCGGCACCCTGTTCTCGAAAAGCGCGTTCATCAGGTCCTCCATGGGCTGCGAGATCGACAGGTCTCCCCGGAGGCCCGCGTCGAGCTCGCGCAGCGAGCGGCCCATCTCAAAGACGAGCAGGTTCATGCGCTCGCACTCCTGCAAGAAGAAGGCGACGTACGGCGTCCGCTCCTCCACCCTCTCCTCAATCTCAATCATCAAGAAGAGTTCCGGCAGCTTCTCCAGAATCTCGTCCAGCTGCTGCTTCACCCGCTCGCCCATCGTCATCCCGCCCTCGCCTCCCCCGCCACGCGGCTGCAGCTCGGAGATGGCGCTGAAGAGGTCCTCGGCCTGCCGCGTCATGAAGTTGATCTCCGAGTTCGGATGCAGGCCGTACGCGGCGGGCGTCTCGCGCTCGATGTTCTCCTCCACGTACTCGAGGTACTCCTTGTACGACAGGTTCGGCGGCGACTGGAAGCCGGGGTAGAGCGCGATCCCCTCCACCAGCTCCTCCCGCACGTACGCCTGCAGGAAGGTTGTGCACAGCCGCCGGTCCCAGTTGTCGGTGATGTGGCCACCGTACATGATCTCGCCGAAGAGGTACCTCAGGTCGTCCCACGGGATCTTCGAGTTGGTCTCGAGGTAGTTGTTGGCCACCGCGATGCACACCATCAGGTCGCCGGTGTTGAAGGGGTAGCCGCGGTTCCACCCCATCGGGCCAAACTTCCGGCGCTCGCAGACCACCGAGTGGAAGAAGCACAGCGAGAAGATGATCGCCTTGAGCTCGCCCTGCTTGGACGAGCTCTCCCAGATGGTCGCGTCAAAGTTCTTGAACGCGCGCAGCAGGTTCGCCTTGAGCCCGCTCGGCGGCTCGTTGGTCAGCTTGATCGACTTTTGAAGGATTGGCACCGGCACCACCTTTTGCGGCATCGCCGTGAGGAAGACGCGGAACTCGGGGTGGGCCCCCTCCTCCAGCGACGCGAGCTTCTTCTCCAGCTTGGGCAGCCAGTTGGCGACGAGCTCGATGTTCTCGAGCATGACCCACCCGCCCTCAACGTAGCCCTGGTCCAGCGCCTTCTCCGCGACGGGCTCCTGCCCTTGACCGAGCGACACCCCCTGGAACTTGCCCTCGTCCTCGGTCTTGCCCATCGTTTTTCCGAGCGCGCGCACGTCGGCAGCAGGATCGACGCCGGGCGAGAGCAGGAAGAAGATGGGCACCGCTGGCCCGGAGTCCTCGAACGAGAGGAGCAGGTCAAAGTTGATGGCGGTGCCGTACTTTGCGCCGAGGACCTGCTCCACCCACCGCGAGATGGCCAGCGTCATGCGGTCCGGCCGCATGGCGCGGATGATGAGGAGCTGGTGGAAGCCGCTCAGCTTCTTCCACTCCTGCGGCAGCGGGTTCGCCTCGGGCTGCTCGAACTCGCACCACTCCTTCCACCGCTTCCACGAGCCCTCCACGTCCGCCGGCAGAGACGCAAACTCCTCGACGGAGGCGAGCGCCTGAACGGAGCCCCAGGCGGCGTCGGGCAGCCACGACTGGAGCGGATTCTCCTTCGAATTGTCGCGCGGGTTGCGGATGAGCAACATGAGCTCGTCGCTCTTGATGGCCGGCTCGCCCTTGTCGTTGGTCTGGCCCAGCAGCACCTTGACGGCGAGCTGCGTCGCAAAGATGAGCCGGTGCCGCTCGAAGAGCCCACGGGTCACGAAGCTGAAGACGGTGTAAGTGATCGAGTCCTGCAGGTTCGCGACGCGCTCCTCGACCGACTCGGCCGGCTCCGCCTTTGCTAGCGCCTTGTCGAAGATGAACTTGAAGGCCGCCAGAGAGTACTGGTACATGTGGTCGATGATGCACAGCTGGTTCATGATGAAGTACATCAGCGAGCCGCGGTTGCCGTTGGGCCGGTACGACTCGAACGCCTTGGCGACAGAGGCCTCGGTGATCTTTGCCGCCTCGACCTTCGCGTTGATGTCCTTGACGGTCGCCTTTGTCACCTCGAGCGAGACGATGAGCTCCTCGTTGGCGAGGATGTCTCCCTCGGCGGTGGCGAGCAGGTAGAGCAGGTTGTCCTCGAGCTCCTTGAGCTTAATCACAAACTCATTGTTCTGCTTGATGAGGCTCGACTGCTCCTCGAGCAGATCGGGGCGCTCCTTTCCAACCACCACCGCGAGCAGCTGGTCCTCCTGCGCGGGCGCACCAGCATGTTTGCCGGCGGCTGCGGCAGGAGCGTCTGACCCATGGACTGCCCAAGCGCGACGTACGATGCTGAGATTGTCTTGTGGCAGTTCTCGAGCACCTCGCGCGCCATCATCTCTGACCAACCCTGCGGAGGGCACAGGACGGCGGCGCTCAGGGGCGGCGCAACATGACCTAGCATTGCCTCGAGCAGAGCCAGTACGCCGGCTGGGGGGGGAGGGGGGGCAGACGGGCGAGCTGCCTGCTGATTCTCCGGATTCGACATGATGGGAAGGAATACTCCCTCCATCAGTGCATGCATCGACTCGAGCAGCTTGGGCGAGAGGTCAAATATGATGATGTTTGCCATCTCGTCGGGCTTGGTGTACCGAGCCGGCTGCGGCTTGAGCATGCAAAGGAGCTTCTTTTTGTTGCTGGTGGGCGGCGCGGAGAAGCATGACATGTCCTTTGCACCATCAAGAAAGTAGATCGCGCTGCAATCCTCCGAGTCAAAGAACTTTAGGAGCGGCGCCCCCGTCTCCTCTCCGCTCGCCATCTTCCTGTACTTGTCCGGCTTGCTCATCTTGAACAGCCCCATGACCCGCTCCTCTACCCAGAGGGAACGCGCATCGGACGCGGGCTCCATGGCGGAGGCAGCGCGCCCCCCGGAGGCGAGCGCCTTTGGCAGATGGGCTCGATCGTTACGAGCTGCACTTCGTACAAAACAGAATTTTAGTGTGAATTCAAGGTAAGCCCGGCAGCCCCCGGGGGGGGGGGGGAGAGCGGAAGTTTGCCCGGCACACTCCGCAACAGAGAAAAGGAAAATGAAGAAAAGTCCGGGAATTCGTGGCCCGCCCGCCGTCCAAGCGCCACCCTGGGCATCATACACACACATGCGGGTTGTAGCTTTAGCTGCAGTCGGCGCAGCGACGGTGCTGTGGTGGTCGCAGTCGCGACGGAGGCGGGCCAGTGTTCGTGAGCAGTACGAGGAGCTTGCAGGTTCGTACAACGAACGGTGGGCGGCATATGTCCAGGCGACACTCAACGCGTTCATGTCCTGCGCGTCCGAGCCGCTCCGCGACCTCACAGCCGGAGATTGCGTGCTGGACGTCGGGACGGGCACGGGTGCCGTGCCACGAGCAATCTTGCGCAGCTTCCCGGGGCTCAAACTCTCAGCTGCAGACCTGAGCGAGAGCATGATTGAGACGGGGAGGCACGAGTGCCCGGCCGTCGACTTTGTGGTTGCGCCAGCAGAAAGCCTGCCCTTCGCATCCGGCAGCTTCGCTGCTGCCACCACGCTCTCCTCCCTCCACTTCTGGACAGACCCGGAGAAGGGGCTCAGGGAGATGCACCGCTGTCTGAAGCCTGGAGGCCGGGTGGTGCTGAGCGACTGGTGCCACGATTTCGTGGTGTGCAAGATGTGCGCCTGGTACCTCTGGCTCACGCCAGGCCACTCCAAGGCGGACTGGTCCATTCTGACGAGTCGCGATGTGAACGGGATGCTGACCAAGGCGGGATTTGTCGACGTCGCCTTCACCACCTACAAGGTCGACGCGCGCGTCTTTGGCCGCTGGTGGTTGCCGCGCTGGGGCATGATGGCCTTTGTGGCGCGGAAAGCCGAGCAAGGGAGCTGCGCCGTGGGCCGCGATTCGCGCGAAGGGAGGAAGCGAGAGCGAGAGTGAGTCACCGTAACATTCTTTTTCTCGGTGTACCTGTGTGTTAGTGTGCCCGTGCGCGCCAGTGCTCTCTAATTAAGGGCTACGCTTAGCTAATTCTTTTTCCTTCTTCTCCACTCGTCGAGAGTTCGTCGAGTCACTCTCACTGGGCGCGCGGCGCATCATCGCCTCTGATATGTGGAACCATCCCCCTCCCTATTCGCACATGTACGGCGCCCGGCCAGGTTACCCGCCGCCGGGCTACATGCCAGGCTACCCACCACCGCCGGGAGCCTATCCGCCCGGCTACCCTCCTCCGGGTTATCCACCGCCTCCAGGGTACGGTGCGCCGATGCCGCCGCGGCCGCCGGGTCCCCCCGTGCCCCCGTCTGGCCCCGTGCCGCCGCCGGGACCGGCGCCGCCAGCTCGGCTGCCCCCTGAGCGCTCGTGCACGCTCTACATTGGCAAGATCCCGGCGGCGGCGGCGGACGCCTTCATCGCCGAGCTCCTGTCGTGCTGCGGGACGCTGATGCAGTGGAAGCGCTCGGTGGACCCCGAGTCGGGCCAGTCCAAGTCGTTTGGCTTCTGCGACTTTGCGACGGGCGAGGGCGTGCTGCGCGCACTCCGGCTGCTGCCCGCGGTCCGGCTCGGCGGCGCCGACCTGATGCTCAAGGTCGACCAAAAGACGCACGACTTCCTGAAGGAGTACGAGCCGCAGCGCAAGGCGGCGCTCGCCGCGCTCAAGGGGACGCCCAGCCCGGCCGACGCGACGCAGATGCTCCCCGGCGCCGACGAGGAGAAGGACCCTCACGCCACGGCGCGGCTCTCCGAGATCACGCAGGCCTGGAACGCAACCTACGCGCCCGAGGAGAAGGACAAGAACGCACAGGTGGCGTCGCAGCTGCTCACCTCGCTCACGTCGGGCGCCGCTCCGCCG